ATATCCCAAACTCTATATTCTGAAAACTCTATATTCTGGAAAAGTGGGGGGTCTTATACACCTAGTCATCTTATATGCCAGAAAATACAGGTATTTTAATTCCCCTGCAAGTTTCTTGGGGTTTTACAAACACCAAATTTGACCAAACTGGAAAACTGAAAAATTTCAATTTCATTCCTAGTCTAGGGCTGCAGTTCTTCCAGTCATTGTTCTACTAACACTAGGATACATTTTGACTTTCTGTGCAAAGAGATCTCATGCATCTGAAAATAAGACTTTATTGTGAAAGACTGGAAGGACAAACACTCATGAGCATGTTTGTTGAGGATATGGGAGAGGACTTCCTTGGTAGCTTCTTCTAGTGGAATTCTTTCTTACAGGAATCTAGGCTGTCTCCTTCTGTCTTTAGGAAGGCTTTTTGGCCATTCTCTGGTTATTGCAGAAATATTTTTTACTGGTCGTGGAAGGCAGGGTAGATGTTTGCTGTACCTTTTTCTAATTTGTCATGATGAAGGGAACTGGGTAGGTTTAGCCTGGAAAAGAGAAGGTTAAGAGGTGATATGATAGCCCTGTTTAAATATTTGAAGTGGTGTCATATTGAGGATGGAACAAGCTTGTTTGCTGCAGCTCCAGATAATAGGACATGGAACAATGGATTCAAGGAAAGGAGATTCCAACTCAACTTTAGGAAGAACTTTCTGACAGTAAGAGCTGTTCGACAGTGGATAATGCTGCCTCAGAGAGTGGTGGAGTATCCTTCTTTGGAGGTTTTTAAACAGAGTCTGAATGGCCATCTGGTGGGAGTGCTTGGATGGTGTCTTCTTGCAGGCCCTCTTCCAACTTTATGATTCTATGATTCCATGAAAGATTACTTTGGGGTAGTTTAACTCCTAGAATCCCCAGTTGGCATGGCAACACTGAGAGCTGGGGTCTACAAAAGTAACTTTTCCAAGTGCTTTGGGAAACATAATCTTGGTAGAGATAAGGCTTTGTATCAATAATCAATATGTGAGTAGTTCTGAAACTGTGGGGACCCCCAAGGGAATGCAAGAGTTGCTCAAGGGGGGCTCAAAACTTGGAGGGCCTGATCCCCCCTCCTCCTCTTCCCAAACTTTTTTTTTTTCTTCTGGGGTGGAATAAAAGGCAAGGACAGTGCTTGGAGCCTCTGCCTGAGGGAAGAGGAGAAGAAGGTGGAGAAGAGCTGTTTCCTTATAAAATTTTAAAATATTAACATATGTGAATGTGTGAATGAAAAATCACACACTACACAAATGAAATATTTTTATCCATATACTACATTGAGGGGGGGGGCAACATCTGTATGTAGATGCATAGGGGGTCACAAGGATAAAAAACATGAGAACTACTGAAGTATGAGTCAACCATACAGTTCCATGCACACCATGTCAGGAATCTGTAATGGTTTGGTTATTTATTTGTTTATCACATTCATACTTGCTTTTCTACCAAATGTCACTCAGAGCTGCCAACCTAGAATTTTAATCAGGACATTATTCTGTCCTTGAATGCAAAGGGCCTGGTATTTACACCTTTTGAAGAAAACAGACTTTATTAAGCAGTTAGTGATCTCTTATTTTTAGGCCTTCTAAAAATCTAAACCAATTAGATCTCTTGCCTTAAAGGATGTGAATTGAGACATCTATCTTTGTCCAAATGTGATTCTCAGAAAATAAGTACTACCAAATAAGGCTAAAATGAATTGTTAAATGTTGAGGGTTGGAGGGAAGATCAGGGAAGAAATGTAGACTTGGCTGAGACATCTCCAAACCCCTCTGTCCTCCACTGCTCTGCTTAATTCCTACAACCCCTTAATACCCGAGACCTCCTTAATAGAGTCCATCCATCTGGCATGTGGC